CATACCCTAGGACCCTTTGGAGGCTCACCCTGCCTCCCCGGGGGCCAGAGGGGGTGAAATCGCCACCTTCAGGGACTCTTCTGAAGCTTCCAAGTCTCAAAAGAGTCCCAGAACGTGGCGATTTCGTCCCCTCTGACCCCAGGGGGAGGCAGGGTGAGCCTCCAAAGGGTCCTAGGGTGTGTTCCATAAGATTGACCTCTCCATAAGGATCACCAAATTTTTAGAAGAAAACAGATTATTATTTTCCTGTTTTCTTCTCCTAAAAATTTGGTGCATCTTATGGAGGTGCGTCTTATGGAGCAAAAAATATGGTAAATTATGCTCCAAGAATTAGTCTTTTTAAGGTTTTTACAGTGCCACTGGGCTTATGAATGTGATTGTGTAAACTAGTTCCTAAACAGATCTGAGGATGATTTTATTTTCTTATGTACTGTTGCCTGCTTTGGATTGATTGATTTTCTGTTGTCTTGCCTCTCTGCTTTTGGACTGATATTCAAGGATTTTGTAGGACTTAATCTGAACTAGTACCAGGAAACATACATGAGGATCCACAAAATTAATAACCTGCAAAGCTTTCTGGGGTAGCACATTAAGGATAAAAAAATATAAGAAACTGAAACAGGCACCTGGATGGATGGATGGATGGATGGATGGATGGATGGATGGATGGATGGATGGATGGATGGATGGATGGAGCTACAACAGCATCATAGCAGAAGTGCTATCCATGAGGCAGTTCAGTTAGTGCACTGCACAACTGGTCATGTTGAAGATGTATGACCAATTGGACAATTGTTTCCCCACATTTACATGAACAGACTTTGCCCAATGTTTGTTAGCCTACCTAATATTTTGAAAAGACACTATCAATATTCAATGTCCAGATTATAAATGAGAGACACTCAGAATGTAGAAAGTAGAAACAAGTTCTTTTTTCTGTACTTCTTTACATGAGTTGTTAAAAAGCTCTGGTTCAATGCGTTTCGGTGAAGCCTTCTTCAGAAGCAAGCCACTTTATACTCTCTGCAACTTTCTTTGGTCTATATCAGCTCCAAAACGAATTGAAAGTGGTTTCAAGAACCTCACGAAGAAAGCTTCACTGATTTACAAAGTAGAAACAAGCTCTTTATTCTGTATTTAAAGAAATAGAGAATAAAGAGCTTATTTCTACTTTCTACATCCTGAGACTTCGTCTCTCATTTATAATCTGGACTTCGGTGGATGTACTAGTTCCTTTCGTTTTGTTCAGTATTCAATGTGACATATACTTACCATCTTCCCAAGTAAAAGGTGGTGGAGGTTCAAGTTTAGGCCGTTCAGGTAAGTGCATTCCAGTTTCATTATTATATCCAATTGCCTCAGCATCTCTTCTAGCTTGTCTCAGGACAACCCCTCCTTGATCTCTTAATCGCACAGCAGCTCTGTAGAATATTGTATCTTTTGCATTGTATTTCATACAGTTATCTATAATAAGGTTGAAATCCTCTTCAAATTCATTTAGATTTCTGTAACCTTGACTATCTAATCGTTTTCTCATAGTAGAAAAGTCCATGGGATGTTTAATGTGATCCAAATAGTCAGGTACCTGAAGTACAATTTTAAAAAGAAAACAAGAACATTTTGATTAATATATTAAAGCTTCTTTTTATTGCAAATGAGTGGACTACACTGTATTATTATTTTGTTACACCAATTACTTGGAGCCTTTTTCTTCTAAAAATCTCCTCTCCCCACCACACTTTCAAAGGCACTCTTACTTCAAAGTGAACTAAAGAAAGCCAAACTAACTGAAGAATTAAGCTAGTGAATAATATAGAAGCTTATTTTGGAACTTTCTATTAGTAAATGCTGTAAATTAGCATCATCACCATCACTGTCACTCTTATAAAGGGGAGGGAGAAGCATGCTTTCACAAATCCTGGAAAATAAATAAGTAAGATTTCTTTATTCCTACTTTAAATTCATGTTTGGTAACACAATTTTTATTGAAGATTTTCAGAGCCAACAAAAAGAAAAAACATTAAGAGCTAGCTTAGTGTATACTCATGGACTATTAATCATATCCTAAAAATTAGATTTTACCTCTTTAAGATTCACTGGCTGAGCAAATATGCGAGCAGAATCCTTTTCCTGTAGCTGGTCCAGTACTGACCGCAACAGAACAGTAAATGGGGTTAGCTGAAGCTCCATGGCAACCTGTTCCACTTTGATCTACACAATAGAACAAAAAGACAGATCGTTAATGAATATGACTAGAGACTACTTAGCTGTTACAAAGACAATACAACCAAGGTATAATGTATCATTGAACTCTATTTCTCCTTTACATCCAAATTTGAAGAAGCTGGTTTGTTTTAAACCTGCACCTGAGGCCAACAAAGGACTGGACGAGGAAGAGCAATTCAGACAAGAGAGACAGACACTTCTGACCAGTTAAAAGGCATATCATGGAACAAGATTCAACCTGCACTGGACTGAGATTCACAGTTTGGATGTACCTTTGGATTTAGCTCAGAGCCTAAAAGCTTAGGTTTCGGTGGTAACAAGTTAGATTTGGCCACACTGATGCATCTTTTAGTTACATTCCACAATTACAGTCACATTACTATACAGTGGTGCCTCGCTTAACGATTTTAATTGGTTCCAAAAAATTCATCGCAATGGGAAAACATCGCTAAGCGAAACGTGTTTTCCCGTAGAGATGCACTGAAAACCGGATAATCCGCTCCAAAGGGAACAGATTGCCGTCCTTAAGCGAAAATCGCCATAGGAAACATCACTAAGTGAAACGCAGTTCCTCCATTGGAATGCATTGAAACCTTTTCAATGCATTTCAATGGGGGAGAGAAAAAAATCACCAAATATTCAAAAAGAATCTGAACAAAGCCAAATTTGGTTAACAAAGGGTTTATTAAGTGCACTAACGATTTCAAGCACTCTAAACCTTTTTAAACAATTTAACACCTTTTAAAAATAGCGAAAACGGAGCTGTCAAAAACATCGCTAAGCGAAACGGGACCTAAACTGTCATCGCTAAGCGAAGCAAGGTCCCGAACATCGCTATGCGAAATTCCCCCATTGGAAACATCGCTAAACGGAGCGCAAGATCGCTCCAAAAACCTCATCACTAAGCGAATACATCGTTAAATGAGGCAATCGCTAAGCGAGGCACCACTGTAATGTGCTCTACATGGGACTACTTTTCAGAACATTCAGAAGGTCCAAAATACTGCAGTTAAGCTGTTGATTTGAGCTAGTTAAAGTAAGAATAGAATTTCCTTTAGAGTGTCTCTGGATTGAATTCCGTGTACTAGTTATGAGTACAACCTCCAAAACCCTAAATGGTTTAGGTCCAGGCTTTATAAGGACCTCATCTAAATGAGCCTGCCCAGGTCTTCAGATCTTGAAAAGGGGCATCCTGCCTCATCATCCTCACAGGTCTGTATGGCAAGTACACAAGAAAGGGCATGTTCATTGGTTGCTCTCACGTTATGAACTCCCAGGGGTAGTTAGCTCCATTCCTGCTGTCTTTCTGATTAAGAGAGAGAGAGAGAGAGAGAGAGAGAGAGAGAGAGAGTGCGCACGTGTGGGGGAATTATTTAATCATGTGTTTGGCTGCTGGTGGGGAAAAGAGCCTTTTAATGATCGGTCATGAGCCTCCTTTTTTGCTGTGCTTTTTAAGAGGCTTTGAAACTATGTTAAATGTTGCACTAGGTTTAATGTAATAATTAATTTGATATTGCTTTAATACTATAACATTGGGATTTTTGTCTGTACCTTCCTACAAAGAGAAGCAGAATGTAAAGCAAATAAAAAATAAATGAAATTTGAATCTTATATTCAGTCCTAAATATGTTTACTCATTAGTAAATCACACAACATTTTACAGAGTTAACAACATAGTTAACTTCTTAAATCTAAATTTCATGTGCACTGGTGATACAATGAAATGCTTAGAATAGAAAGTTTACCAGGGAAGAGCATTAGCTCTGTCAGTGAAGAAACCATACTATATGACATGCAATTCTGGTGCCTTTTTGAAAATTAAGAGCTCCACTATACTTCATACAGTACATATGAATACAAACTCGTCCTAGATATAACCATGTAAAAACATTTTTTAAATTCCAAAAGAATTATCAATTTATTAACAAAATGTAAGTATGGATAAAAAAAATCATGCTACAAGATTGTTTGAGTATACAGATTCCTCATTTATTGCAAATAAGTGAAACTTTTTTTCACTTATTATAGAACAGAGCAGAAAAGTGTTTTAAGTTAATTTCTGAAGTCTCTGAGGATCATTTGTATCAGAAGTGGGCAACTTGTGGCCCTCCGAATGCTACCAGATTACTGCTTCCATCATCCGTAGCCAACATAATCAATGGTGATCAGTTTAGCAACATATGGAGTGCTGTGAGTTGCCCACCCAATGTTTTTTAAAAAATGGCACCTTTGGCAGACAGTTCACACGTCACTCCTGCCAGTCATTTTAGAGCTCCAGTGCAGGAGCCTATGACAGGACAGGAGCGGTGGAGTCAACAGAACTGGGAGAGACAGAGTCAGTTAGGGAGAAGATTGTGAAGTGGTTAGACAAGAGATTGGAAAGTTGGTATGTTAGAGAATATAAAAGTGTTAAAAGGAATAGGAAATACATAGCCAGAATATATTGAATATATTGAGACCTTGATGAAAGTGAAAGAATAACAGCAAACATACATGTAATCAAATCCACATTTATTGAATATATAATAAAATAAAAGAACATCCACAATTCTACTTCTGTGATTTACCTGCCAAACCATAAATAAACCTTGTTATAACTGGCAGCAATGGTATGAGATTCATAATTGGTATAGTGAGGATAATACCCTCTGGTGGCAGCGAATAAGGGGGAGAATAACAAGTTGTGTCCAAAAGTGAACTTGTAAGGGGGAAAACAAACAGGGGACACTGGGGATGCACAACAAAAGTAGTGGCAGCGCGGCAGGATTTGAAACGAATGAATTCCAATGAGCCTAAGTAAAGATAAATCTTCTGAATCTGAGGGACCTGATAGTCGAAGGCTGTGGAAGAAGGAGTAGGGAACCCTAGAGCTCTTAGTGAACAGCTTGGAAAGGGACTCCAGTTCACAGACTTTAGGAAAGGCTAAGGCAGGGAAAAGACTCTGAAGAGAAGGCTGGGCAAAAAGTTTACCTCAAGCTTAGAAAGGAAGGACCTAGGGGCTAGCTTTATATCTCAAGGCTCTGAGAAAAGGGAACACTGGGAGGCGGGGCTTTGTTGCGGTGCTGCCAGTAACTCCAGAGAAGAGCTCTCTGGAAAAAACTGGAACAGTCCGGTCCGGGATCCCCCTTTTGAAATGGGGATCGAAGGAGAGACTAGGAGAAGTCTCTCTGAAGCAGATGGTGAGCAGCAGAAGGAGAAGAATGGGAGGCAAACCCGGACGTCTTCCCTCTGAAGAAATCACCGTGCACAGACTGGAGACAGGGAGCCATATTATTGGCACTGAGCCGTGAGCAACCCTTTACCGGGGGAGAGGAGAACAACCAATATAAGCTTAAAATATATAACAACTAAGTAAGCCGAAGCCTTTGATTTATGAAACAGCCTCATTAAGCTGAAAATAAGAATGAAGCTATCTGGCTAAAAGAAGAAAAGCAGCGGCAAGCCTATCTTATCAGTTTGCTTCAAAAGCGAAACTAAATGTCCTCCTCGTGTGAACTCTTAATATAGCAAGCTGATTTCAAAGCCAAGAGAGTGAGAAGAAAAAATAAAACTTATGTTTCTGGAAAAGAATCCCAGACAGTAACACCATCTGACTGGATTTAAGAGACTTGAGTTTGGTGAATGCAGTTTGGCTGGGACATGTTTCTCTTTGCCTTTTCCTGGACTTTGTGAACTGTTAATAACAGAATCTGGTGGGTTTCAGGAGAAGAAAGGGAGCTGACGTGGTCGACTGGACTAAGGAGTATCAAAGGGTTAATGGAAAGATCATAAGATGGGCTTCAAGGACAACTACTGGACAGTTTGAGACTCTGTGATTGTTGTTTTGCTTGTCGGACTGTGCAGGAGTTTGAGAACAGAAGCTTGCTAAACTCGGGAGAAGAAAAAATTGTGCCATGGTTCTATTTGAATTTGCTGGGTTAAAAGCTAATTTTTATATTATAATATTTGGATAAAGATTGGAGGCAGATCTAGGGAGGTTTATAATGAGGGGTTTGGTTTGTTGATAAAATTGTGAAAACTGTAGAAGGATATCTAAGGGGAGATCACTGTGATTAAGGGCATAGTATCATCTATACAAGCCCCAAAGTCTGAGATGGCCTCCAAAAATTTAAGACAACAAATGGAGACTTAGTCTGTTCAATCCCAAAGTTTTGGAACAGTGGTACAGGAAATAGAAAAGGAACGGCAGATTACTATGCAAAAGATAATAACAGGGTTTCAGCAAGTGAATGAAGGTCTTAGCAAAATAGAAGATTTGATGAAAGTGATGAAAGAGGGGACAGTATATGCCAAACAAAACTTAAATGAAGCTGTACAAACTTTAGAACTGTATTTATTTGGCATGACACCAGGCAATATAAATGGGATAAAGAGTTATCGTGACCTATGGAGCTTCCAAAATTAAAAAGCATTATGTTAAAAATCTCAAGGAAGCAGAGATACTGAAACAAGAGAATCTTATTGTGATAATATGGGAAGTGGAAAAAATGTGAGATGGGTTGAAAGACTGTTAACTCAAAAGGAAACTGAACGATGGGATGTATTGTATAAATGGCTGCAGTTACCAGATAGTGTTGGAGTAACATAGAATTAAACTAAAATTAAATGATAAGAAGAAAGCAGGAGGGTAATCAAACTGTGAAAAAGCAAAAAGATGATTTGTTATTGTAATATGAATTGATCAGATGATGGTATACAGTGGGGTCTCGACTTACGAACGACCCGACTTGCGAACAATTCGAGTTACGAACCTGCCCTATAGGGAAAGTAAGGACTCCACATGCGAACTTCCCTTGAGTTACGAACAGGGAAAAAAGTCCCCCCTCCCTCCCCTTAGAGGCTTCTGGAGGGGGGAAAAGGGTCAGAAACTTAAAAATAAATACTGTACTGTTAAATAAAGTCACTTACCAGGCCTTGGTAGCCCCCAAACCACAGGAAAAAGAGCAGGAAAGAGCTAAAAGCCGACACCCAGAAAGAGCCTGGCAGCCATTTTGTGGTTTTCCCCGCTCCTCTCCCCGCCTAACAGCTGATTGGCTGGCTCTGAGCAGGCTTCCGGAGGCTTGCTCAGCACCTAAAAAGCCTGCCTGAGTGCCTTTGTGCTGAAAAAATCAGCACAACATGCTTTAAAACATTATTTAAAATTGGCTTCGTTTTTTAAAAAAAAGAGTTCTAAAGTGCTGCCTTTAGTGTTCCCTGCCTTCCCTGAACCTAAGGGGAAAAAAGAAAGAAAATATCCCCCTCTAGTGGCAGAAGGCAGAATAGCAGCTTCCCATTAGTTTCTATGGACAGAAAAGAGCAGATACGGATTAAATGGTTTTCAATGCATTCCTATGGGAAATGCAGATTCGACTTAAGAACTTTTCGACTTGAGAACCACCTTCCAATACGGATTAAGTTCTTAAGTCGAGACCCCACTGTACTTTGTGTTCTCCTATCCCCCTAACCCTTTTTCTCTTTTACCTGTTCCCCTTTACTTTTTGTATTCCCTACCCCTGTCATGAAATAAATACTTAAAAGAAAGAAAGAAAGAAAAGGGAGCACTGAAGGGACCTCAGTGGAAGCCAGGGTCAAGAGAAATAGCTGAGGTCTGAAGCTAACTGAGGCTTAAAGAAGAAAATATTTCTGAAACAGCTGGGTGTCTGGAGGCCAAAAGAAACAGGGTCTCAGACACAGGAACAGCAGACTAGGTGCCTAAAGAAATAAAGTAGCCATCCGAAGCTGCCAGTGGAGAGTTACAGTGTCTCAAATCTCTCTAACACAGAAAAGGAAAAAAAGATTTTAAACCGAGGCTTGCCTGGCTGCCTCTGTAAACACCAGCCATCTTGTCTAGAGAAACACATAGGAACATGCCTTCTAAGAGAGGGAAAAAGTTAGTGATGGAGGTCTCTGATGTGCAAAGTTTACCTCACAAAGAGAGCAGAGCTCTCTTGAAATGATAAAGTAGCAGGAGGAAACCTCAGGGGGAAAAACTGGGTTAACCTCACAGGGCTTTGAAAGGTGGAGGTTGCAGCAGGAATTTAAATTAAAAGTATTAGAAATAAGGACTAGGGCTGAGGCTGAAGCTAGACAAAAGAAGTTAAGATTTTGAAAGAGAAAGGGAAAAAGAAAGTGCTGAAGCAGAAAAGAGAGCAAAAGAAATGGAATACCAATTAGAAATGGAAAAAACTAGAATTGGTATCTCTAAACTGTAACAACAGTAATAATTTGGCTGAGGGGATCTCAAAAGTGGACATTAAGATATTCCCTCAATTTAGAAAGGGTGATTGCCCCAAATCATTCTTAATCCTGTTTGAGAGAGTGTGCTGGGATTATAATGTGAGGGAAGAAGAGAAAATGGTCATTCTAAGAACGCAAATAAGTGGGGAATTAGCTGAGATATATTCTCAAATGCCACAACATCAAGCAAGAGAATATGAGGCATTTAGAAAACTGGTTTTCACGAGATTTGGAATTAATGCTGAATATCTTAGAAGGAAATTTAGAGCATTGACAAGAAAACGTGAGGAATCATATTCTCAGTTGGGAGCAAATCTGGTCAGATATTTGGATAAAGGTCTAGAACAAGCTAATGTTGAAACTTTAGAGGATATGTAAAATATAATTGGGCTTGAACAATTCTATTCGGTTCTGCCTGGAGAACTAAGATATTTAGTCAGAGATACAAAGCCTAAAACAGTACAGCAAGCGAGACAGCTGATTATATATCAAAAATCAAAAACCTGAAATTTTCTGAGGTAAAATTTGGTAGTACAGTGCTGCCTCGCTTAGCGATTGCCTCGTTTAACGATGTATTCGCTTAGCGATGAGGTTTTTGGAGCAATTTTACGCTCCGTTTAGCGATGTTCCCTATGGGGAAATTTCGCATAGCGATGTTCGGAACCGTGCCTCGCTTAGCGATTACAGTTTAGGTCCCTGTTTTGCTTAGCAATGTCCGTTTTCGCTATTTTTAAAGTGTCTTAAAATGTTCAAAAACTGTTTTAAATGCTTGGGATCGTTCGTACACCTTGTAAAACCTTTGCAAATTTAATTTGCCTTTGTTCTGACTCTTTGTTAATTTTTGGTGAATTTCCCTCCCCCCATTGGAATGCATTGAACTGTAGGTTTGACCTGACGGAGATATCATGAAAAATAAACAAATAACCATAAAAGGGATAGGGACTGAATTAATTACTCTACCCATGGCTAAAGTACACATGAAATATCAAGGGTGGAATGGAATGTGGAAGGTAGCCATCACAAACAAAATTCCTGCCCCTTGTTTGATTGGGTTGGATTTATCTGAGCATGTTAAGAGTGTTCTGATAACTACTCGCTCCCAGATAGAAAATAATGAAACACCTGATTGTGAAACCCTTGATGAAGAAATAGGAGAAAATGAAGCAAATGAACTAGCTGAGGTGGTGAATATAAGGAATCCTCATGAAAAAAGTTTTAGACAAGAACAAAGACAGGATTCTACTTTACTACAATGCTTTAAGTTGGCCAGGGAAGGACCTATAACCCGTGAGTACCCTGATTCTTCGTGGACAGAGACCTGTTATATAGGGAGGTCTTGGTAAATCCTAAGAGGGGAGGGGAAAGCCTCCACAAACAATTGGTCATCCCTTTTTAAGTACAGGGAGAAGATTATAGAAAAGGGACATACAGACACCTTTGCTGCTGTATTCTCAAAATGCAATAATGGTCCAAGTTTCTGTTCCACCTCTAACACAAATAAATTCATTATGGGACATTTCCTCATCTTTCTCCCTCAAACACAGTAGTGTCAAAAGGAATGCAAAAAGGTACTTTTCTGTTTTGTCTCAAATGAATGTTTCAAATGTTCAGAGCACTATACTTTAATATGTTACATAATAATTTCAGGTTAAATAGCTTGAAACTGGATTGTTGAAAAACTGTATATGTACGTCAGAAATCTACTTGTCAATAAGAGTGTGACATTTGTAGTGGTGAGGTGGTTGGTAGTTGTTGTTTTTTTCATACTCCAATTCCCAGCTTTCTCAAAGAATTTCCCAGGCAGAATTCTAAGAGCTCTGGCCCTCATATAGACACATCCATTTCACTCGCCTGGACAGAAGCCTACCCTCACACCTTGCTTTCTGTCTCAGGTCTTGGTACCTATTCAAAAAGGAAAGTGTCCCAAGTCTTTGTGGGATGCTGTTCTTTGGGAGAAGCTTTTTTGTAGACTCTAATGAGCACCACAAAGATCTAGGCTTTCCAAGTAAGCACAAGGGCAGTTTACTTTTAGAATACTAATAAAACTCAAGTCAGAAGCTATTCCGGATTCAGAAACAGTCTCTGAGAGAATATGATTATTTTTGTTGGATCTTTCTCTTTGGAGACAAAACTCACAATGGGAGAAAAAAAGACTCCCCCCTGCCCTACAAAGCTCTGCAGCCCTGACAGTAAGCATCATCTCCAGAAAACCTCAGGGGCTAAGAAAGAACAAGCTGAAAAGGGAAATAACAGTGTTTTCCAAAGAATCCTAGTATGTCAAATAGTTGTGTTAGTTGACACAATGGCAGCAGTAAAGCCAGCAGGGGCAAGGCCAATTACAGCCTTGATTAGCAAGCTAAAACAAGTGATGCATACCTGTTCTCTTTTTAATTTTTCTCGTTTCCGTATAAGTTCTATCAACAACCGCGCTCTCTCAAGATCATGGCGAAGCCTCTGCCAGTACTTCAACTTTTCTTTTAAGGCTTGTGTTTCTTCATCATCTTCCCTCTTAAGAAAAAAAATGCCAATAGTTTATATTCCACTCTTTACTCCTAGGTGTTATTCTACTATTTAATTTTACCAAATAGTCTTAAAAATAATGTATAACTCAAATAGCTTGTGAACTTACAATTATTTTAGGAACACCTCTTCTCTTGTACAAGAAGGGATACAAGTTGTACATTTGGATTTGACCCATGTACAAGTATACTTATCATAGCAAACTATGCCTCAATTGTCAAGTTAAATCATGGGAAATAACTTTGTTATGCTTGGGAGTAATGAAATGGGTGTACCTGTTGTGTATTTCTTTGTGACTGCAAACTGGACTGCAGCCTTCTCAACAAAGGGACACCATTTCTGGACAGCCTTTTAAGTAACCAGTAACTGTGTACTCTTTCAACAAATTGTTTCTTTCGCTGAATAGCCACCTGATTCATAATTTTATTTAATCTAAAACATGGGAGAGAAAAATAATAAACATGTTGCAACAAGCACTGCACATTTTTGCTTTTTATTTTAATTATTGTTTTATTGATATAAAAAGATACTTCAAAATAGAATGAAATCCAAAAAAACTAATATGGGCATGGTTACACCCAGTTGGATTTTTAACCTTCTCTTTCAAATGGCTGGCAATCACATACAAACTGCTTTTGAGGTTCACTTCATATTCAGAAGACTTACCATATACCAGACAGGAGGTCTGTTCCATAAACATAAAACATTCTTAGACATGCAGAACTAGCTAGTTATTTGGATCCAAGGTATTATAAAACATTGCATAAAGCCTTCAAAACCTGATATATCAGAGTACTGGATACACCTGTTGCCTAGTAACAGAGGTTTCTACGGGAACATTCCAGAAGGAAGCTTAAAAAGCCAAAAAACAACAATTTACCCCCCCCAGCAATTCTTTGATAATGAATTTATTACATTCACTGCATTTTTAATTAAATAATTTCATATGTTTTGCTGCTGTAGCTAGGTTGTGCAGACTTGGAAGTAACATCACAAGACTTCCGAGATCACAGGTCCACCCACATTTGTCAGTTATCTGTGACACACTGAATGCCTAAAAGAAAAAGAAAAAAGAATAATCTCTCTTCCAATTTATAAAAACATTCCAGTTTCTACATATGGTCCCCTCTAGAGATAATTCACAGGTCAAAAAGGAGCTAAGCAAGTACTTATTTACAAGTTTGATTTACTGGGCTGCTGTATTTCTGTTACTTTGCCACTGTTTTCTTTACTCCAAGGATCAATAGGAACACTTTTGGTTCTCCCTTTTTTCATGGCACGCTAATCTGTACGATTTGATATTTTTATTAAGAATACTGAAGCACAAATAAACTTCTAGTAACTAAGCTGAAATCTTTAATCGGACAAATAAATTTCTAGAATACTAAAAGCTAGTATTATAAATGGCTCACTTTAAAGTCTTCTACACAGAAATGTAATCCATATTTCAATTATAATAAGTACTAAAGAATTATTGCTACCTTTATCAACTGACACAAATATGAACAGATAGCAGGATCAAGTAGGTGCACACATTGTTCATCATATGCCCTAGGGCTTTTTGGATCACCCTTTTCCATGCTTTCTTCTTAAAGCCTGCCCCAGTAACTGACAACTGTGCCTCAAGCTATACACTCTAGAGCAGTGTTTTCCAACCTTGGGTCCTCAGATGTTCTTGGACTAAAAATCCAAGAAGCCTTCACGACGAGCTCTGCTGGCCAGGATTTCAGGGAGTTGGAGTCCAAAAACATCTGGGGATCCAAGTATGGGAACCACAGCTCTAGAGAAAAGTCAATTCAGCATTAAGAATTGCAACCTGTATCAAAATTGGCACCTCTCCTGTGCACTACAAGACACTTTTATTTATGCAAAGGGTTGTCTGGACTAGGTGCACATAGACGTATTTATATAAATATGGATTTGCTTTAAAAGTATCAAACTTCAATACATGATTCTATTTTCTGAAATATAAGATTATCCAACTATTTATCTTAACTTCTGAACGTGTTAAAATGTGTTCAAACATCAATGCTACCAGTAAACAAAGCTTTACGGTGAACTTCAAAGTACTGTGTTTTTCTCCAAGCTGTGTTCCTGTGTGCTGTTTGGCTTGCAAAAATCTATGGTGAATATTATGCTGTTATGCATCTAGGGAATTTTTTTATCGGTGTTGATATTTAAATCATTTATAGATGTTATTCTGCTTTGATTCATAAAACAGCTACAGTAATTATGAAGTGTTCAAGAAATTAAGTAAACAAATGTTTTCTCAGTTTCTCTAATCTAGTATGCTAACTATGTGATAATGCTATCCATTTCTCATTGTGTAATGGCAAATCTTAAAGTGAAGGAGCTTACTATGGCAGTCTCCACAGCCACATTTACAAGCAGAGCCCACTAAGACAGCTGCATTGATTTATAGCAACAAAACTGCCATAATAGTTTTTCACCTCCACCAGGAATACAGTTTTCGTAAAGTTAATGAATTTTATACTCTGCTTTACAACAGGCACAGGCTCACAACACTATAAGAATCATCCTCTTCCCCAAAATACAAATGAAGATGTCAAATAATTTTAGAGGAAATAAGGAAGCCAGGGGAGGAGAGTGGCAGGTTAAACCCTGCTAATCAAAGTCTGCACATTTTGCCCTAGAAGCCCTGCCTCCACTGCCCACACCCACAGAGTAACAGAACAACACTCAAGCAATGCATGTCAGGAAAAAACATAAAACACTTCAGGAATTAAACACATTGTAGAACAGGAAACAGAACATAGGAGATGAAGTCACCTATTTTATACCTTGTGAGTTAGTTCCACTGTCGCTTACACTCAACTAGCCTGACTTTAGAAAGAGGAACAGTGGTGCCTCGCAAGACGAATTTAATTCATTCCGCAGTTAATGTTGTCTTGCAAAAAATGTGTCTTGCAAAATGTGTTTTCCCATAGGAATGCATTGAAATCTAAGTAATGCGTTCCTATGGGCAAAAAAGTCAGAATAAAGTTAAATTTGGTTTGCAAAAGGTTTATTAAGTGCTCTTTAAAGCCATACATATTTTGCAGATTATTTGAAAAATTTAAAAAAAAACTTCCAACTTTTTAAACATCATAGAAAAACATTTAAAAATCAACAAACATGAGGCAGGAACAAAAAAATGGAAAACATTTATCTTGCGAAGCATGGCCATATGAACATTTGACTTGCAAGTCACCAACCCCCCCCATTGCCAAAACCATTTGTCTTGTGAGTTTTTTGTCCTGTGAGGCATTTGTCTTGTGAGGCGCCACTGTATAAGAGACACATGCAGTAGTATACTCCATTCCCCTCTCCCTGCTCCAACTTGCTTTTTGTAACCCCCTATCTAGTACAGAAAACTAGAGATGGACATGAGCCGCCACTTTGGCAGCCTGCCCTTTGGATGAACAGGGGTTTGGCAGTTCCTAGCCCCACTTCCTCTGGTGGACGCCCACTCAGAAGCAGTGTCTAGAGAAGGTGGGGCAGGGAAGCCAGGGCCCTTGCCTTTGAGTGGGTGCCCACCAGAGGAGATAGGGCTGGGAACCGCTGAACACTTGTTCAACCTTTGGGCCAAACTGGTTAGTGCCCATCTCTATTAAAGATCTCAAAATCTTGCACTGTTTTAGCACTTTTGAGAAGATCTGATCATAGTACAGAACTCATCATAGTACAGGCTCCAAAATAAGAAAATAATCTGAACAGCACATTTGTTGAAAGAGACAGAAAGATATCCATTTTTATTCTCTATCACTCAGCTAAAACATATCAAAACATCTAGGAAATTAAAATGATTTGATCAAAAAGTCTATCTTTATTTTCTTACCTTTGAGGAGGTATACATGGAGCAGATACTGCAGGCATAACTGTACAGGGCTCAGCTGGTGCCTTTTTTGATTTTTTAGCCTTTTTCCTGACTTTTGATGCAGACCTTGTTTTGGCAGAGCCCTCTTTTCTATATAGACCATTTTTCATTTCAGCTTCCCCATAAATATTCAGAGGTCTCCGAATAGAACCTGGTGGTGTATGCAAATCACAATATGCAGTCTTTTTCACTGAGAATGTTGTGCCACTGCCAGTCAGTTCTTTCACTGGCTCCATTTTCATATACAAACCAGCTTTTTGAGCACATGTAACATGGAATGCTGTGTAGCAGTTTGCTTTATGGCACTGTATACAGGCACCAACACCTTTCTGTTTACAGAGGTAGCATGTTAATTTCCATCGGGCAGGGGGAATGTTCTTGACTCCATCTATTGGCTCAATAAAAACAGTATTGGCAAACCCAACTTCTGGAATCCAAAGAGCACACACCACATGTCCCCACCGATCATCATCAGTCTTTTTAAAGGCACCTCCTTTGTTTGGACACAGTACACAGTCTACAGGCCGTGAATGGGACTGCAGACACTTTCTGCAGAGCCACTGGCCTTCAGGTATATATGGCACCCCATAACACTCCTGATGTACTGCCAAGTTACACATATCACAAAAAAGAATCACATTGCTGTTCTGACACTCTCCATCCATGCAAATACAACAAACAGCATCTTCATCTATTAAAGACTGATGTTCACCCTGTTTTTGAGTTTCACAATAAGACTCTTTTTCAAAACGGTCCATAAGAAATTCAAACATGTTCTGTGATACAACTGAGAGTCCATCACTCTTTCGTTTCTCATTGATTATTTCTAACCATGCATAATCTTCTTCATCCATGTCATACTCCACTTCATTATCAAGTTCTTCCGAAGACTTTTCAATGAATTTATAGTAAGCTGGAGGCCTTCGAGGGGCCGAAGGAGGACTGTATTCAACAATATGCACTTTGGGCTCTGGAAGAGTATTTGCTGTGGATGGAATGCCATGTGCACTTGGAAGAGATTCATTTTTTCTTTTAACTTTGCTGTTTCTATGCCTCTTTGTTCTCAAACAGACCTGCGGCCTCTCACTATTTTCTTTATTGCTGTTACATTCACTTAATTCTTGGGCTGTTAGATCATCTTCTAATATAACCTCCAAAGGTTCAAATATACTGATCCTGTGCAAGCGCCCTTCAATTTCTATTTCTACCATCCTTTGAGCCTGTGCATATGTTAAAGTCTCCCTAGTAGGAGAGTGCTTAATACTGCATGGAGAAGATGAATGTCGTGCTGAAGATACTCGATGACATCTTCCTTTCCTCCTCATTTGGTACTGATTACCTAAAATGAGAACCATGGTTGTAAAATGGAACATCATCTTTTTACAAGCGAACAAGAGATTTAACTCCATTTATCAAGCTAGCATTCTCCTACAATATAAACAGTACCTGAATTTCTAGGATATACCTAAAAATTACAAAACTAAATATCTTTCTAAGCTTATATTTAAGAATTCTACTTAAAAAATCAGAAATCTACAAGTAGTTTTTAAAAATGCTTAAAAGTCTACAAACAATTTTGTTTTCAATCCTTTTATTAACACAAATGTGTATCCTGTTATTACAGTGACGCTTCTTGGGACAAAACAGTAACAAACGTATACATGCCAGAACCACATGGGTGTAAATCAAACTGTGTATCTCACTGTGGTGAACTGCCCTAACTAATGAAGCAACAGTAGTATTACTAGATGGAGGCTTGCTGTGTAATGAGAATATGCCTTGTAAAGATGACCAGGAACTCATTTGGTAGCAGAAATTCACTGCACTGTTACACAATTTAATTTAACAAACATAAATCACCAACAGGATTCTGACCAATTACAATTAATGCACTTTTGAAAAAAGTAGACTTTTCTCTGTCAGGGATGGGATTTTCAAGATTCTAGGAGTTCTCATCCCAAGTACCACCTAGAATCCCCCAGGTAGACTTTTGGGAGAAAAGAAACAATAAAACAAAACAGGTATCATTTTACCATCATTGGCTGCTTCACTGCAGGTGCACAGCTGGGACAAAATTGGGAATGCCTCTCAATCCCACTGCTTTCTAAGAATTGTCCTAGTCCACTATGGGAACGGTAGTTCAGTGAGAGACTTCCTCGACAGTTTAATGAGTAGCAGGACTAAGGTCCCCAGAGATCACTAAGTCAATTCACGGAAAACACTGAGTTATATGTGCTTTCTTCTTCCCAGCAATACACATGGAATGAAGTAGAAAATGGAGGGAGAAATAAATCTTGTTTGCCTGCTGGTTTTTCTTCTCCCAGTCTCAGAAATCTACTTGGGGTATTCTAAGCAACTTCTTGGACTAGAATTCCAGAAATTTCAACCTTAGTCTTTAATGTCTTCAGCCAGTATATGTGCACCATTCAAAATCAGTTTTAGAAGAGAAAGTCATGTTGGTGTGTGCTAGTATGTCAAGCAAAACAAAAACAAAAACACAAAAATAAAGAAGAAAATGCGGATTCTTCATTATACATTGCCTAGACAATACATCCTGCTGGACTAACAGGATTTACTTCTGAAGAAACATACACAGGATTACACTTCAAATATTTCATTTATCCTTATGGTAGCTTTTCCTAGTTATTCCTAGCTGATACAAGGTTTCCACATATGGTAATTCTGACTATAGTTATGGTTCATGCAAGATTTCAATGCTCTACCCTTCCCTTGCCTAGGATACGACTAGATTTGCAGGAATACATATGATCCTGGAATATGTTTCTCAGGGAGAAATTTGAGAAGCTACACACTGTATCAACATGTCATACTCTAAACGAAGATGAAATATTAATATGTAGTCCTAATGTTCTTCCTGAGTGAGGTATAGCTTTGACCATAACTATATGGTTTAAACCAAAACGTCTCCCCACTATGCCACAGCTTTTTAGAAGAGATACACATTGCCAAATATTGAACAGGAAACAAGTTTGACAACATTTAATAATAATGTGAGACGTTCATTAATAGTGAAAATTTTCAGATAATTTTAAAATTCAAATAATAATCATAATGGGGGAAATTTCCTTTTGAACCACAACAGAAGAGATGCTGAAAGAAAAGGTTAAATTATCCCATATCTACTGCAATTACAATATTTATTAATTTCATATGCCTTTTTCACCTCATATCTACCTCTGCAGGAACCTCTGTGTGCTTTTCTGGTTGGGAATGGGATAAAAAGGCTTCAAATAAAAAATAAGGACAGAAATGCTGCTCAAGTCCACTCATATACCACCACAGCTACACTTTTCTTCTTCCTAGAACATGAAAAATAGGTGAAGGGAATCTGAAGTGTAGAATAAGAAGTCAGTGCCATCTTTTTTCTACAAAAACATGTCACAGGTAAATCACAGCAAAACGTGAAAGAAAGAAGTCTATAGCAAAATGTACTCAAAGTTTGTGTTGCTCATATAACTCTGTAACATGTGAAAAAGTGCTTCAAACAATATTAAGCTTTTGATTCAGATCCTACAATAGATGAATGACAGATGACATACTATTATTACATCTGCTATTTATAGATATTTTGAAAGAAAAGCCGCTCTTTAGTGCATGTTCTAACAAATTTTCAACATTTACAAATATATTGGGGGATAGCATAAACTAGGCCCACTGTACTGTATTTCAGTACAATGCTACTTTCCACAAAGAATTGCCTGCACTATTTAAGTCCTAACTCTCAATAACTCTCTCCTTCACCAACCAAAATACAGACACAGCAAGATGTCTTGCATTCAAACTTCTGCATGTGGGAAATGTATGTTCTCTATCACATCTCAGAGTCCTCAAAAATACCCAAGAGTGAAAAATACAGGATTGAACACCTACAGCTACAGAGGGAAGAGAACCTTGAGTCTTACACAAGCTGCCCACCACTCATGCAAATTTGTATGCAACCTGCAAGCTTAAATTCAATGCTTAAGTTGAGGCCTCTCAATTCATTGCAAACACCTACCTGTATTCCATGTTTGTGCTTTATGTTACAGGAAAAATAGTTTTCTTGACAAAGGTATCTTCACTACATGTACCACAGAGCTTTCAAAACTTACTGTTGTATAACGCCACTAAATCTTCTGTTTACCTAATGAAGAATATTGGCTTTTTCATGGTCTATTTTATCCTAATACTCTTGTCTTTGATTTCTGAATGGAAGAAGTATTATACTTGTAACACAGCAACAACTGGAAAGTTGAGTGTATAGTAGCGTTGGATTGCTAGAGCAGACCGCAACACTATTTGCAGGTCTGCCAACAGACCTATGTATATTTTTGGTTATGGCTACTGAAATATAAGGCCCTTACCATGAATGAAGGTGAGAAGATGTAGTATGCTATAGATATTGTTCCCCAACGTATCTAAAGTTCAACAAGTTGAAGGATGTTTTGAGACAATACATAACTCTCCCTAATTCACTGATTCATTGTCAGTTCTCTGTCAAAGCAAGGAACAAAGCTAGACTTCATCTACTTAGCCAGGAATATACAAATTTTATCTAGATAAATATGGAAACAAGAAACAGCTTACTATCATGGTAAAGGTATGCCCCTTCCCTATGTCTTTTCCCACAACAGAACTGCACTGTCAGAATACTTAAGTTAATAATACTTACTGTAAAGTCCTTTTAAAAAATAGGGTTTAAAGAACTGATCACCAAAACTACCATAACTTTCTATTTCTAGTTAGCTGTCATCATTTGACCACAGTAATTCAAAATCACATGGGAATGCTGTGTGACCATGAACTAGAACAATTTATAAAGTGAAGAAAAGTTTATTCAACAGAATGTTTACCACCATTATCAAAGGTTTTTTCTCCTCTATGAAGTCTGATGAAAGGTGATCATCCTGCCTCAGGAAACGCACAAGCTGTTTACATTAGCACACTAAAACACTGATGCCGTCTGATAAAGATAATACGTGGATGCCATATTTAACTTTATTTCTAGAAGCCCACACTTCAATTGGGATTAGGCATCCTTCAGTCTTGAGAGACTATGGTAACGTGCTCTGAATAGAGGACTTGGAACAGTGTCTAGTATGGCTGAGAAGGTCAATTCGAGAGTGACAATTCCTTCCACACTGAAAACAAATACAATCTGTCCTGTCCAGCTCCCTGATTTTGCTGGTTTCGGGACTGCCACTTTGCCTTGGCCTGCTGGCCAAATGTCTCTTCAAAATGCAAGAGGCCATGATACACCGCCTGCGTTCAATAGCTAAAATGAATTAATGCATCTACCAGAAATAGAAGCATGCATTTAAAAGCAGAGGTAGGCAAAGTGCAGCCCTTCAGATTCTGTTTGACAGCAACTCCAGAATTCCTCATCATCAGGTTAGCCAACATGGTTCCCTCTACAGGTGCAACTGCGTGAGCACACAGTATTGTGCCCCTCTCCATGCTGTGTTCCTCCTCCTCCACACACCAACAGCCCCTTTGGTTACAGCTGCATGTATCCATGTCATGCATGAGAGGGGTGGAGCCCTCCCAGCAGGGCTGAAAATTAGACAGAACATTGTTAATTAAGAATGAAGGGAGTTACACTTCAGCAACATCCAGAGATCCACATGTTACCCAAACGGATGAGGGTTAAAAGAGTCAGTGTAGTATCATGATTCTACTATTGTACTAGGACTTGGAAAACTTAGATTTAAAACTCTACGCAACCATGGTACCACATATACAAAATATATACATAAAGACCATATGTCAATTAATTCTTAGATTATAATTCCTGGTTTTTTATATCTTGCTAATATATTGGGCATCTGATCTACTTTATTTATACTCTTTAAAAGGAGTCATAACCACTCAAGTTGGTTCTCATTCTCATATAAGTATTATGTTTTTGCCATTAAGTCACATGAAACTATGGTTTTCAAGGTATTGAAATATATGAATGGTTTCAGCAGTGCCATCCTCCAGTGAAATCCCATAGCTAAGCTGGAATTTGAACCCATTGTTTCTTAAATCCTAGCCTGCCACTCTGTTGATTACACGACATTGGGTCTCCTGAAGTACTAACACAGCATACTGTACTACTTATATTGGTGCAACGTCCAAGATACAAAATAATTTATCACTCCACAATTCAATTTTGAAACACTACTGGCTTCATAGAGCTTTCTGAAGTATAAACACATAGTAAAAACAAATGCAACAGACAACAGCTGCTTGTTTGTAATAAGAGACTACTGGATTGAAATTATCAGTTTCTCTTCCAGGAACTGCAGCTGCTTTTAGTCAAAGAATAGGATAGTTGTATAATGCAATCTGAAAACATGAAATAATAAATACCATTGAACAAACTTCTGAACTGGAAGAAATACTTTATGTGTAATGGACAAAATTTCTTCCTCAAAAAAGCATGTTAACTGCTATTTCATGATTTCTGCATCTTCTACAGAATGAAGATTCCTTTTTTCCAAACAAACTGAACTAGTTTTCCAAGGGAACAAAATGGTAGTGGTAAATACCATCTGAAAATTGTTTTCTCAAATACTTAACCATTCCTACTAAAAGTAGGGAAGATACTGTGTAATACTAGGTTGATTCCAAAAATAAAGTTATAATAAGTACTTCAATAACTACAGTACATGACACATACTTCTAAATACAGTATACGATGTAGTCTTCAAATTGACATAAATTGGTATTCTTACATTAGTACTACTAGGAGTTTTGAACTGGCCATATGTTTTAAATACAGTAGTTTGATATTAAATTTGTCAATGCTGTATGAGCAATTAAAATTTCTGAGTTTAACTTCTATAAGAGAAACTGGAATATATTCTTATAAAAACAGAAAACATACAGATATCAATTGCATATAGTCTCCATAAAAATGCAATCTTACGAACATTTATAAAATACTAATTATATCCCAAATACAGAACAAAGAAGTTTGCAATGCAACTCTACACACATATCAGATGACATCCTGTTGCTTGGTATATTAAGCTGCAATAGTACATCAGCAGGCATTTGGTGGATCAGCTCCTCCATAAATTCCGTTGATTTCAAATGGGCCTACTACACTAAGCAACAGGATTTCAGCCCTGATGCAGAAATTAAAAGAACAAATTCTATTTCCATGTCAGTGAATACAGGATTGCAGCAACTAAGCTTAATTTTGCTCTCCTAACCAACATGTAAGGTAGGCTCCTTCTGCTTTCATTTCACAGATGAGGAAGTAGTTAAAGTGAGATCATGACAAAAACAACTCTTGAATCTGGATTTCTCTGACCCAAACCAACATTTAGTATGGTTAGGATACATATTATAAATGAGAGACAAAATCTGGACTTTTGTGGATGTACCAGTTCCTTTTGTTTTGTTTAGGATACATATTACCAATATTACTGAAACAGCAGCCTGACAGTTGTTAATCTCCTTCAAAACTTTCTGCCTTAACTAATCAACATCAAAAAATTAACGTTGTAAGTATGTCTCTGTGCAATGAAAAAATAACACAGCATGTTATTAAGTTGAATTTTCAAATGACTGTAAAGGCATCACACCAACAGCGTAAAGACTTGTATACAATCTTCAAAGTACAGACCTGTATCAGAAAGCAGCACAAATATACAAAAAATTTGGGTAGAAGAATAAAAGAACAAAATCCTTACAGCTGCTAAACTCAAGTATTGAACAATCAGCAAAAGAACCTGGAGTTTTTGAAGCTGAAATTTGTCAAATACTACTAACCAAAAGTTTCTACCAGAAAGCACTAACCATAAATGCCTAGTGTTTGTTAGACTTGCATGTTATGTTATGTGCCTTTTAAGTCAGACCCAACTTATAGTATCCCTAACAGGGCTTTCAAAGCAGATGAGATATTTAAAGAATCATTTTACCAGTTCCACACATCCCAGCCAGCATCCATGGCTGAGCAAGAATTCAAACTCAGGCCTCCTGGGCCCCAGATCCACCACTCTATCCACCACACCGAGTATAGACTTGAATAAGATGTACTAAGTGGTCCGGTGGGCCAGATAGGCGGGGTATAAATTAAATAAATAAATAAATAAATACTATATCTGCACTTCTCTTGTGCAAACAAAAGACATAAATAAGTGAAAATAATGAAGCAGATGAACTTATTGGCATGTTACTTTCACTTTTCTGTTACAAGCATAGAAAAACCATCCCTTTTCTAATTAGGCAATGAAAATTTGGTGGTGATGATGATGATAACAACATGCTATCAGTTCTGACTTATGGCAACCCTTTTTCAGGAAAAGAGTGCTCAGAAGTGGTCTATAATTCCCTTATTCTGGGGGTGCCCTAGGACTGTGCAACTTGCCCAAAACCACACAGGCTGGCTGTACTGACAGGAATCAAACTCCCAACCTCTGCCTCCACAGCCAGATGCCTAAACCCCTGAGCTATCCTACCATATATGAAACATTTGAACACCTGTGATGAAAAACTTCGGTTACTTAATTCTGAAAATAGTTAGGAAAACTCCCAGTATTCATACATGCCACAAAAAACAGAAAAGTGGGGACTAGAAAGGGAAAGCTCGACTGCCCCAAAAAACTGAAAGTGAGTTTCCCAGAAACCAACCCGTTCTCCCTGACGTCACTAAACCAAATGCTTCCCTGAACGAATCCAGAAAGACAAGCGAACTCTAGAGCGATCAAGGCAAGGAGGAAAAACTGTAACAAGCGAAACATCCCACAGAGACAGAGGACACTGAACTGCAACGCCCCCCTGTTTTTATGAATGGTTCCGCCCTCCTGGAAATTTAGGCCTTCCCCCCACCCCGTCCAAACACCGGCTTGTCCCCGCCCCGGCGTGACATAAACACGGGCGCTGGATAGCACGCGAGCACGCCCCTTCTCCCCTCCCACTCCCCGCCCCCGCGCTAATGGTTCCTGCCCAGACCCATAGCACTCCCTTCCCCTTCTCCCCCTCCTTCTCCCTAAGAATGGTTCCTTCCAGGCCAGGCCCGACAACTCTTTTCTCCAGCCCTTTCGGCGAGAAGTCTCCCCTGCGCTTTCTCCTCACCCACCCCCGCCCGGGACAATACTCGGCTCGCAAACATGGCGCCCGCCCAAGAGAACAGCTCCCTC